AATTTTGGCAGTTAACATTGCCAAGCTCCGAACCCAAAAACCTAGAAATTTGGACCTCACAAGAATAGACCATAAATCGAAGTTGATCGTAGTTGGTTGGTTTATTGAATCTTAGTAAAAAAATTTCGCGCTGCTTTTTAGCCCGTAATGTAATGAAAGAACGGTTGGAAATGTGTAAAATAAAACTCACTCTTAGTCATTTGAGGAAGAATTGGCTATCTTTCCTTGGGCAAAGCAGGCTGGGTGGTTTAAAATCTCTGCCATGAATGCTTTTCTCCCGTGTTAGATTAGATATTGATGTCCAGGAAAGTACCCAGGGCCGACTTGCTAGTTAGATATTCACGCCGGCGGCTCCAAAAAGACCGATTCTCATGGAAGCTAGGTCTAACACAAGGCAGGTCTCTTGTTCAAGTTCTCAATTTACTGCATTTTTGTCATGACGGGGCGTGATAGTCTTTCTAACTGAACAACTCAGCCGCATCCCTTTTAGCCTAGGTATCATCAGCACCTTGTAAAGTAAAGTATAGTGATTATCAAACGGTTTCTTCGAATAGAGTTGAGTAATTTGCTGCCACTCCAGTGCTGGTGAACTTTTGTGCAAACGAACAACAGTTGGATTGGCAGTGTGACTCCTCCTGCCGATTAAAAGTTTACGATTTCACCTTTGGTAAGGCATTCATTCATAGTTCCCTCGAAGTGTCTTTATATCGAAAAAACCTGGAGTGTTAACCGGTCAAGAACAACATTCAAAGACTCACGCGATCACAACAAAAAAACTAGATTCCGGTTTGGCAACCATTATCTTCAAAGAGCTATTTTAGATGCGGATCTTTTTGAGATTATGGGAAAAGCCTGAAAGTGCTATAAAGTATACAAAAAGCCCGGAAAGTGAAGCTTGTGAATGATTAGCTTATGCAAAAGGCGACTTAACCTATAAGTCAATGAATTTACCTTACAAAACAAATGACTCGTCCTAAACTCTTTCCTCTTAAGAGATAATGAGAAAGCAGAAACCAAACATCTAACTATAATAAGATTTTTACTGACCGGATTCATATGAAAAAGAAGCTCAGAAGGTAAACCAGAACCCAGATGCAAATGAAAAAAGAAGTTCTGATGTCAAGTCAGAACACTGTTCCACTTAGAGGTTATTCACTAGCCTGATTCATTCGGAAAATGAAGTCAAGTCATAACCATCCTTTTCCAAGAGTTTGATCCCGAACTTGATTCAGACGAAAAAAGCAGTAACTTAACTTCATAACGAAATTCCACCCGGGGATTACTCACGAACTTGATTTATTCGGAAAATCGCCCTATGAAATTTCTTTTATTATTAAACAAACCGCACTGATAATGAAGGTACCCAAAGTATAAGAGCTTTAAAGTTCCGCTAAGCTTACAGGAACTCAATATTTTTACTGAAATCACTTTAAGCAATTTAACATTTCATTTCATTTGGCTTTCGAAATATTAAAAAACTCAACTCAATATATAATTTAGTAAATCTCGCTTGTGAACTTACTACTGGACTGAAATTGTGAAACACAAATTTTTATATGAACTTGTGAAACACATATTTTTATATGAACTTCTGAAACACTTTTATATAATTGAAACAAGAAAACTTCACTAATAAAGTTAGGCAAATAATGTTCCTTCTTTACACTGCAAATCAATAAAAAAAATAAATAAATAGAAAATGCATGCAATACTTATGTATGACCACAACACACTTTTCTAGACGTACTCAATGACTAGGACCGCGCCCGTTGACAAGAGAAACGCGACTACCGAACCATTGCGGCAACACAGGGTTGGATGACACTAAAAACGAAACTCCACGTTTGTATGGGTTGGCCAACAATGAACTCTGACTTCAGACTGACACACAAAAAACTCAAACAGAAGTACACAAAGAGATGGCGTATAAAAGGATAAATGAGCTGAAAGAATACGAGCTCTATGTGTTTTGTTTGTAAACCAAGTGAGAATTGGATAAAGAAAAGAAAAAGTGTAAATTATACAATGTGAAATATGCGGCCGGAATCAATAAACCAAACCCCCCATCCTCCATGGTAGAGTGTGGTATCCAAGTGCGAAGTCAAAAAGGCCGACGGCGTACTACGACGGAAGAAAGTGAGGAGGGAAATTTTGCTTATGACGCATATAGAAGCGTGTAGAAGAAGAATTTACCAAAACTTATGCCACAAACTTCACATCCAGTTCATACTGTTGTGAGTACTCCACGCGGCGCTCGCTCACTTGCTCACTCTCTTCCCTCATTATTCTATATCTCTTCTTTTCAGACTTCTTTCTATGGCAGTGCATTTTTTCAATGCAACACACAAGTACTTCTCTTCCGGTACTGGAACACGTGGCAACCGCAACGTAACCCCCAAATGTAGAATGCAGTTGAAATAGGTAAGATTCTGTACCGTAAGTCGGCGCTGAGCGCAAGCGAAAAGGGTTGTGGTAAGTAAGTGTTATAAGCGCTCAAGTGGAAGTAACGTTGTGCTAAAAAGGAGTTACTATGCTGTGTTAACGGTGTTAGTGGTGGCATGATTGCGCTTGAAGGAGAACGGTTTTAAAGTTGGTTTGTAGACTAAAATAAAACATGTTAAATTGAAATGAAATTAAATTAAATTAAATGAAATTAAATAATACAAACTTAAGTAAAACAACCCAAAATAAAAATATAATATATTATAAATATATTAAAAAAAATTAATTTATATTAAAAAAAATACAAAAGTGATAAAAATAATTTAAAAATATAAATATAATAAAAAAAAATTAAATAATATTAAATATTTGAGGTTTAAAGTAAAAGAATTGAGCTAAAATAAATAAAGTTAAACAGATTAAAAATAAATTAAATGAAGTGAATTGAAAAATTAAATAAAGTAAAATCCATTTAACAAATTTAAAATAAAATAAAGTAAAATTTATTTAACAAATTTAAAATAAAATGAAGTAAAAATGAAGTAAAATATTATATAATTAATTAAATAATTAAGGGGAAAGATATTAATTAAAATTAAATTAAATAAACAAGAAAAATAAAATAGAGTAAAGTAAAATAAAAAATAAAATAACATAAAATAAAACTAAACCAAAAAAAAAATTAATTAATCTAAAATAAGTCAAATTAAATTAAAAAAAAAAAACATGTGAAATAAAATAAAATAAAATGAAGTAGAATAAAATAAAATTAATTTCATTAAACCAAAATATTATAAAAAAAGAATTAAATTAAAATAACGTAAAAAGAAAATTTATAATTTAAATAAAATAAAATACTATTGTTAAAATAAACTACAATAGAACTAAATAATTTGACATTTGAATAATTGAAATAAAATAAATAAAATAATATAACTGAAAATGGAAAGAAATACAATTATTTAATTATGAGCAACCGTTCATATTAAATTATTTTTAAATAATATTTTTACAATTCAATAGAGTTCTATACAAATTATTCTTAGGTTCCCGAATCAAAATTCTTAAAATTACTGTGAGCATATGTTATAAAAAAAATGTTGAAAATATGGAAATTTCAAAATTTACCAATGTTGATTTAAATTATATATTCAGAAATATATATCAAAAACCTATAACAAATTAATGCTTTATAAAGTTCTTTCGTTGAATCTTGATAGCTAAAAAACTTATTTGAAAAATTTCAAAAAAAATGTTACGTATGTTTTTATTTTATTCAAATTTCAACGCTAATAAAAGTGTTTTGTTAGCAAATTTTTCGTATTTAAACGCTTTCATTAAATTTTTCAAATGTATTTTCTTTTTAATTTATTTTTCTTTTGTAACGAAAGCTTTTGACACATACTGAAATAAAGTAAAAAATTATCAAAAGTATTCAATTTTTTAAACATTTGAAATTAATGGATCTTAGCTTTAAATTTATTTTTAAAAAGATATTTTTATTTAGAATTTTAAAACTCCTAACTAGTAATTTTTAGTCACAAAAACTATATGTTTCAGAAAAAATGATGAGTGTATTAAAATTTTAGAAAAATATTTCGAGGCAAAGTTTGCAAAAAATTACCTTTAATATTTGGAACATTTTCATATAAATTTAAATTAAAAAAAAAATTCATTAAGCGAAATTCTTTTAGAAATTTATTATTATTTTTTATTATTAAAATATTTACAAATTTATCTTGAATTGAAATTCAGCGTTTAAATTTGTACAATAATCGAAATGCAGCATACAGAGATATTACAACACTCAGTTCACTGAGAAATTTTTCAAATAACGTGAAATAGTTTTTCTCATTATTTTATTAAAAATAAACATTTTTCGAAGATGTTTTATTATTTTTTAGTAGAAGCATATAACTCCTTGGGCACAATGAAGATTTGAAGTAAATTTTATAAGAAAAGAGAAATTAAAAACAAAATATAAAGTTTGCAAAAAAACATTCGCTTAATATATTTATTTAAAGTATACTGAAATTTAATTCTTATTTACAACAGAAGGCTAAAAAAAGCCCAAAAAATACAAATAATTTGCAAAAAAAAATTTTTTGTTAGAAAATTTATCACTTTGATTCACTTTATATAAAATATCGTTTTTAAATTCTTAGTAATCTTCATTAAAAATCATTAATTGATTTTGAGAAATTGAAGAGTTCAAAAATAAATACTGTAAAAAAAATTTCGAAATTTTTTAATAATTACTTAAAACCCGTAGCAATGAAAACATAATTTTAATCAAAAAATTTTCGAAATTTTGTTTAAAAAGATACAATTTTCCTCCGAATTCCTCTTTTATTTATTTTTTTTTTTTTTGTTGAATTTGATTAAATTTATATTTTCATTGCTACGGTTTTTAAGTAATTATTAGAATTAATTAAAAGAAATTTATTGAAATTTTCCAAATTCAAATTCAATTAAAGTTTAAAAGAATATGATTTTTTATTTATTATTTATTTTTTTAATATTTAAAAATATCACTGCTTTAAAAAAATGTTGCATACTTTTCGGAACAGAATTATGATTAACCCTCCCGTTTTTTGTAATTCACTGCACTTGCAAGCTATACAGCTCGGCCAATAGCACACACACAGTTTGAGAATTCTTTTAAATCAAGCAGAGTTTTTCACAAGCAATTTTTGTTAATTTTTTATTTTGTTTAAATTAATTTTCTTCAATTTCATTTGCCATTAGCGAATATGCACTGCAAATTCTTGTAAACACATTACAGAGGAGACACGTTTTAATGCGCATTAAATGCTGAAATTATTTTGTGTATTTTTTCGGTTGTAACCATTTGGAAAGCTCGACGAAGACTGAATCCAAATTGTTTGACTTGGAGGCTCGTTGGTTGGTTGCTTGCTGGCTTACTTGCTGCTTGGCTCCTTGGCTGGGTGGTTGCTTGGCTTATTGTTGGTAGTTCGATCGGTCGATGCGCGTGTTGCACCAACAACAGACACTACTGTGTTCACAACTACACTTAATGAAACACCAACGAACAGACCGACTACCGGCCGACCGCCGGGCCGAAGGCGCAGGACATTTAGTAGTATGCATATGCATGTGCATTGGAAAACTCGTGCCACACTCGGCATAGCCGTTGTCGTCGTTAGCGGTAAGTTGAAATGATATGCATTGTTATTGTGTTTTTTTCCTTCTTCTTTCTATATTTGTTTTAGTTGGAAGTTTTCCAAAGCGAGTTTCCAGCAGCGCCAGTCACTCAGCTAGCCAACTTCTGACAATTACATGCTTACATTCAAACGTGGTTTGTTGTTATTGCATTTCAATATTTGTTGGCCACATGCCAAACATGCAATCCAACATAACAGCAACAACAACAACAGTGGTGCATTTTAGCCGCAACACTTAACTTGAAAACAGCTGCTTTGGCAACGAATCATCGCATGATGGTAAGTAGCTTTTAACAATAACAACAACAGCAATAACTACAACAACAACATTAGTAGTTGATAGCTTTTGGGGGAAAGAAAAACTCCCGTAACATAACAACCAACCGCATGGCTACGAAAGCAAGTCAACAACCAACAACATTGAACTATTTCTTTTTCCACCTCAATTCGTTGCAATATCCGCTTCGTTTCTATTGCGACAGTTAGAAACGAGCATGGGCACCGACGGACAGTTGCCGATGCCAATTTAGCGACGGCGAAATAAATTTGGTGATTTTCATTTGTGAAGGGAACAAAATTTTCAATTCTTGATTAAAACTTTGTAGGAAAAAATTTAAAAAAAATTACCAAAATATGCTATGTTGCCATTTTTCAGCTTACTACCCAAAGGATTTTTAAACTTTTCAATGTCTTCAATATTACGCATTTATGGCGAAAAGCCATTTTTGATTTTAAATAAATATATTTTATGAGTTTGTTATTTATAGCGGCATTTGCTATGTTGCCACTTTTCATTATATCACTAACTTATTAACTCACCAAATTATATTATATATTTTGACAAATCGATTCAGTCGTATAGAAAGTTTGTAGCTAAAAATAAGTTTCGTGTGTAAATAAAAAAAAAATATTTCAAAAAGCAGAACTCGCTGTGTTGCCCATTTTCACATTTTGAATTTTCCGTACATATATTTTTCGAGAGTTTTGTTAAATTGAAATAATTCACCATAAAATAGATGTTATTGCGCACAACACAAATCTAATAAACCATTTATTTATTTTTATATTTAAAACACTGTTGCCGAATTTTCAAAAAAAAAAATTTTTTTGTAAAGAATTATATGAAAGTATGAAGATAAAATGTTGTTCTAAGCCGTTAACGGTTTTTATATGTAGAAATGTCATGTGTTTCCTTACAAAAAAAGAAGTGTCAGTTATCCCGGTGAACTAAAAGTGCACTAAATTGCTTTGCTGCCAATTTTCATCATTTTTAAATCTGAATCCGCATAGACACTGGCTTTTAAAAAGAAAAGATTAGAGAATAACTTCGATGTCTCTTTAAAAATTGGAAGCAGTTATAGTATTTTAAATAAAGAAAAATTATTTTAAATGCAAAATTGCGGGCTTCTAAAACTTTTTAAAACTGATATTTATATTAAAAGTTTTTTATGTGAAAGGCAATTTTATAACTTAATGATTTTTTATTTCTTTCTTCGTTCGTTCGTTTTAGAAGTTAAATAGCAATTAATAATCTGTGCCGAGGGAAAAATAATTTGAAGCAATGCTGCCAAATTTCCCCATCACAATTTTCAAAATTTCCGAAAATTTAATTCCAAACAAACAAATATAAGAATTTTTACACTTTATGTTTTAAGTTTTTAATATTATGATGTTTTAAAAAAGCAATGTTGCCAAACTTCACTATTTTTTTTGTTTTGCTTTTCGCAAAAACTGTAATGAAAACATATCTTATCATCTTTTTATAATCATGTTTATGATAGGTAATATTTTAAAACGAGACTCATAATAGTCTAATTAAATTCTATGAGATTTTGAAATGCAAAGTTGTCAATTTTCAGTTTTTTGTTTTTATTTTAGTATCTTCAAGAATGTATTCAAAATGAAATATTTGAACTTTGTGTTTTAACGACACCACTTATAACTGACAAATTTTTGTTTAATCCGGGGAAATCGAATTGCCATGTTGCCTAATTTCATTAGCACTATTTCGCTTTGTTTTTTCCGAATATCCAAAAAAAATTTCATTTCTAACGAAAACATGTTAGGTTTTTAGATCAAATAGGACATAAATATATTCTAGTTGAAAGCAATTTGATTTGCTTTGTTGTCAAATTTCACTTGATTTTTCTCGCAGAATCTCTCTGAAACTGCATATGAACAATATATTTTCAAATAAGATGTTTTTCCTATAATTGAGCTTAAGTTTTGAGTAATTTTATAATGCATTGCTGCCAAATTTACTAGAACTTGTTTGTGTATTTCACAAGTTTCATTCAAACTGATTCATACCACATGTTCCATGTAATAAAAAAAAAATTTAAATCATTATTTTTCAGCTCTGGGGACATTTAAAAGGCAACGTTTACCGAATTTCACTTGAATTTTCTCCGTATTACTCGCAAATTTCATTCCTGTATCAGTTTCAGAACTTTTCATATCGAAAAAGACATCTTCAAATAATTTCGTTTTAATTCCGGTACATTTTAAAATACAATGTTGTCAAATTTCATCAAATTTTCGGTCGAATTTGTTAATAATTGCACATTTAAGTCTTATATAAATAGCTGGTAGTAATTTATTACGACAAGTGGAACCAATTTAAAGTTTGGAAATACCATGTTGCCAAATTTCACTTCCTATTTTTCAAATAAAATATATATAAATATATATATATACAGTAAAAAATTTGCATTTATGTATTTTTCAACCACAATCTAAATTTCCAAAACACAATTCCAACTATTTTCAGCACTCAAATCATACATTATTGGTTCACCGCTTCCTCAACACTTTAACTTCAAGTGCGTAGTTTACCACTAAATATTCGAACGCCTCAAGAGGTGCCGAGTGTATGTGTCGAAAAATTTTTGATTGCAAACTAAGCAACTAAAGGAGAATTTATGTAAGTGAATATGTATTGTGCTAGTACAAATCGCTTCAACTTCAAACACTTGAGTGCACACTTGAGATTCGAATATGAATGAAAATACTGCAGAAATATCAGTAAAGCAATACAAGTGCAATTTCACACACACACACACATACCACACACACTGAAAAAAAACACTTCACGTATATGTATGTATATGTAATGCTAGATTTTAAACACACCTCCAAAAACTCATATGACTTAATCCCGCTTACAATGCGCCACCTTTAAAGTCCTTTGCTTGGCTAAGCCTTAAAGTATGCAATGGCAACGGCAAAGAAACAACGACTAACAAAAAGTTCAATAGCTTCCTCAATGGCTTGTTACTGTATACCAAATACACACGAACCACTTGATATTTAACTATTTATCCATTGAAAGCTTGAAAATTTGAGATTTTAATCCGCATTCACCACACGAGTGCTGCACAAAGACTGTTGGGCTTAAGTGCGGCACGAAAGGACTAAAGCCATGCGCTTGCCGAGTGTCGTTTAAATAACATCCGCGCTCGGCTGCCACTCGGCACATTGGTCGTGTCACCGATTGGAAGTCATTGAATTTGTATTTGTGTCGAGGAATTGTTTTTTTTTTTTTTTTGTTTGCTTAAGCTCGGCGACCCTACGGACTGTATGCAAGCACGACAACAGTGGCGGCGCATAGCAGCGACTGCCTCCATTGGAAAATTGGCAAAGAAATTACGCAATTTCCAGTGTGACAGTATATCTTTGGTTTTGGAAGTTTTCCGGCAAATTTCCCGGCATTAACAACAAAAGTCAGCAAAAATTTCAAATAGCTCCAAACCTATTCGAAATATTTCGCGGTATATATGTGTGTGTTTACTCGTATGTGTGCTTAGCTCGATTGGAAGCCGTGCAGCCAGACAGGCGGGCAATTCGGCTGATTGGCATGGCATGGAATGGCAGACAGCTGCTTTTGGAAAGACGACAGCGAAAAATGCATAAACGCACCTCCACACTGGCATATAAACGTATGTAATTATTTAGCTGGAGTTCATTGAAGTGCAGTGGCACAAGGCGACAGCTAGACGCCGGAAAAAAAATTTAAGTGATAGCTTTAAGAAGTACTAAACTCATAATATGAAAATTGGCAACGTTTTAGTTTTAATCAGCTTAAAGTACGAAAAAAATATTTCAAAAAGTAATTTTTAAAATATTTTTAGGAACAAGCTTTGATCTGAAATTTGGCAACGTTGTATAATAGTTGATGAATTAAGATTGGGAACATCCCAGGACTCATCTTAATTATATTTTAATGCTTAATTTTACATGTATACCAAATATTCGTTTTACAATTATTTTTTTGTTTATACAGGCAAATTGGCAACATTGTATTTTAGCACCAAAATTGCCAGACACAGGATATTCCCGAAACTTGGCATGGTAGTGTGTACTATGAACGTTCAAGATATATATATATATAAGCATATATACGTATATATATATATATAAATGTATACGTAATTATTATTTGCATGAAAATTGGCAACGTCGTTTATATGAAAATGCTTCTTATTTAATGTTGGCTCTAAAAATTTTTTGCACAAAAAATATGTGGTGCGAAGTTACTTCACAAGTAAATTTTTTTGGTATGAAATTTGGCAACGTTGGGCGCTAAATTGTAGTTTCATAATTGACAATGTCGCTTGCATATAGACTCATTTAAAAAATGTGCTTATGCTAAGTGTCATATATTGTACTAAACCAATATTGACTTCGAAATCATTTTTTGGACTTATATGAAAATTGGCAACAATGCATTTCATTTAAAATTTTAACAACTAC